GGGAGCAGGCCTAAGCCAGCAGGTCATTATCTCCTGAGGGGTCCCAGACTGTGAGAGGGCACAGGCCGGGCTGAGGGACCCCCTCTCCCCCCCGAGTGCACAAATTTTTGTTCACGGGGCCTCTAGTCCTTTATAATAAAAACCCAGTGACTGGATGGCAGAACGATCAGAATGACCAGTCGACCAGACGCTATGAGGCACACTGACCACCAGGTGGCAGATGCTCAATGCAGGAGCTGTGCCCTGGTTGTCAGTGCACTCCCACAGCAGGAGCAGCAGCTCAGAGGGGAAGTCCACAGCTGCTCGGCTGATCAGGATGGGCCGTTCCCCAGGCCATGCCTGCACCAGTGCACAAATCCCGTGCACCAGGCCTCTAGTACATGAATAATTATGAACAGCAGTTTTTTAGAAATAGAAATGTTAAAGACCATGCAGGTACGGATCTAGAGAAATAAGGAACATGTCGTTTTCAACTGGTCGAAAGGGGACTCCTTGTTTCTGACATGTACATTCTCACAGTATCTCTGTTCTAGAAGATAACACCTTCCCAGGTCCAGCGGATTAGGATTTGGACACCTTTTGGTCATTATTCACATGGTCTCACCATGAATCAGTGTAGCTGCATAATTCATTGGGGCTCCCATTATAAAATCTGTCAACACATTGAGGGAAGAGTGGGCACTCTCTATGGGAGGAACCATGGTGATTGTGGGTCAGTAGGAGGAGCAATCATTTAAATGGACCAGGGCCCCTCTCTCAGTCCATCATGGTCATCATCATCATTATTATCATCTCCATCGCCATTTGCTTACTTTAACCATCCCTCTCATTTTCTATAGACATGGTGGTTGTCCACACATAATGACTTTTTATAGGAAAAAAAGCAGGCATATCCTCTTCAGATACCATAGGGGGATTGAGTCCCCAAAAACCCAACTGTAAGTCGCTATAAGGCCTTTGAAAAAGCCAATGACTTTGGACAAAGTACAGAATCCCACCAAGATATTGAACCAAGATTCCTTTCCAATAGTATCTTCACCATCACCATCACCATCACCACCATCATCATTATTGTCACTATCAGCACCATCTTCATCAGCACCATCATTGTCATCATTTGCTTACTTATATTTAGTATTTTCATTTTACGCAGACATTAGTTTTGCACAAACATTTGGACCCTTTGTTTCCTAAAGTTTCATAGATGTAAGTGGGCAGCCATACTGTATTTATTTTTCATTTGATTACTGAAAACTGGTGGTCATTGCTGCCTCTTCTCTATCTGTCCCACATGGGAAATTGGATAAGAAATCATACTTTTGTCTTTAGATGTCATTGTGAAATTGAAAACACACAAGCCCCTGGAAGGGGAATTCCTCCCTCTCCCCACGACCTCACCAAAATAAACACTCCATGCCAGTCCCCTTTCCTGACTCCATGAAATCACCTCTATCTTACTGAATGACCTTTCCTGTGATTTCCAGAGATTTCAACTATGTACACAATAAACACTCCATGTGCCTTGATGTGTGTGTGTGTGTGTGTGTGTGTGTGTGTGTGTGTGTGTGTGTTTGTTGTCAGCCTGGTCATCTGTACCAAGCTTCCATGTGTTCCTCTGCCTCTGCCTGGCATCACTTACTCTTGGTGCTATGAGCATGATGGCAAGTCATTGACCTTAACCACCTGGGTCTCTCTTAACTAGACTTGGGGTCACACAATACTGGTGCCCACAGTCCAGCCCACACGAGTCTTGCTGCTTACTGGATGGGCCCTGAGCTATGAGGAGCTGCACTGTTGAGTCTTCAGAGCCTCTAGTTGGGTTTAGGTGACATTAGCAGAAGATTTGATTATTAATTGGAACTTGGAACAAGAGTATCTGAAAGAGGCTGTGTGGTTTGTCCACGTCTGAAAGTTGTCTCTTTACAACACACTTTTCTAAGTCAGAGACCTCAGAAATAAATGCAGTCAGGAATCCAGAGAGGTTCCCTGAGGGAAACTGTGAGATGAAGAGGAAACCACACAGGAAACCAGCCCAAACCTCCAACTGAACCTGCTCCTCAGATGGTCTTTGTGTTCAGGGACCCTGAGCACCTCCTGGTAGTCATAGCTCCTCCTGCAGGGAGATTTGTGTCTGGGCTCACACTGACTTCCCCTCACTGTGTGTCTGTTGTACAGTAATACATGGCCGTGTCCTCCACTCTCAGGCTGTTCATTTGCAGGTACAACGTGTTCTTGGCATTGTCTCTGGAGATGGTGAATCGACCCTTCACATAGTCTGCATAGTATGAGCTGCCACCGCTGTTAGTAATGCGTGAAACCCACTCCAGCCCCTTCCCTGGAGCCTGGCGGACCCAGTTCATGTTGTAGCTACTGAAGGTGAATCCTGAGGCTGCACAGGAGAGTCTCAGAGACCCCCCAGGCTGCACCAAGCCTCCCTCAGACTCCACCAGCTGCACCTCACACTGGACACCTGCAAACACAAAGATGTCCTGGTCAGGAAACTCTCACATGTCCACTGTTTCTCTCACTCATGTCCACTCACATACTCAGTGTCTTTTATTGTCCATAAGTTACCTCTTAATAGAGCCACAAGGAAAACCCAGCTGATCCCAAACCCCATGGTGAGTGGTCTGTGTTCAGTCCTAATCAGGGAATGGGAACACCTGGGGATCCCAGGGCTGGGTTCCTGTCCCAGAGCTGCAGAGTTGAGGCTGGTCTGGTCTTTATGAGCAGAAGGATACTTATTTGCATGTCCTCCTACTATATAGAGATCTCTGGGGTTGGACTCTGACATAGAGAAATTGTCCCTTAATATGACATGTCCACAGGTGCATGCATGTTAAATAATTCCCCACATCTTGGCCTGTGCACTTCCCATGGAACCCAAATGTTTCGGGAGACCTGTACAAATATACAGGAGAGAAAATTGTCATAAAAAGAAAAAAAGAAGGGTTTAAAATGAGAGATGCCTTTGACAGTCACCAGTAATGACAACTAAGAGAAATCAACCTCACAGTCTTAGAAAGAAGTAAAAGTGCAGGAGGTTCATGTTCAGGAGACGGGAAGTTCCATCTGACATTTTTTCCCTTACAAAGTGATCAGAGGATAAACTAAGACCTGAGTGTGAACCTAGAGCCAGTGGACCGAGTGTTGAGGGAGAGAGAAGCATCTGAGTGGGTCCCTGGGAACCAGAAGCATGAACTATAGAGACACAGACAGAGCTCCCGGGTCCTATTCCTTCAGGGGAGCTTGGTGCTTCACCTTTAGCATCTTACACTGCCTCCTTTGTTGTGTTTATTCTCTAGATTCTGTTGTACATCCAGTTTCATACATTGGGACATAGAAGAAAATACTCATAACAAGATCTTTTTTAGGTGAAGTTGTTGGTATCAATGGGGGAGAAGTTACATTTTAGTTTTGGAAATTTAATTGTAAAAACTCTTGATGTAAATCACTTATATGAAATATCTGATATAAATAAAATAATTATTGATATAAAGAATAGTATTTGCTCTATCCCTTTATTACAGAATGAGTAGGTCATTCGGATAACCTCCCATTGCTGGAGCTGATGGATGTAATTTCATAGTAACCTGGTCAGCCTTTGTGGTTCTGCCTTAGTTTCACCACCAGGGTGTGTGTCCATGTGGACACATGGCATAGTTCTAACTGGGGAGCAGGAGGGAATGTTGGGCTTTCCTGCTTCATCAGCAGCTTATTTCATAAGCACTATCTGCTCCTTCTCAAGTCCCTAATCACGTCTGCATATGGCCCTTGGCAATGCTCTCACTGTGTCTGCACACCTTCACTGGGTGGACCAATATGCAATGTGGGAATAGCCACTCTAAGCCTGGAGATGAATTACCATGGATGGAAATTCACCACATCTGAGCAGACACACCTCCAGGATGGTTCCTTCAGCATGTTGTGATTTCCTCATTGTTCAATTTGTCTCCGTTTTTCCTGAAATAGCCACGCATAACATCCATAGTCATTCAGGTAAAAAAGCACCTGCTTGAAAATTAACCCAAGTTCCAGGTGAGATCCAAACTACTGTGTCCTGCATCCCAGACAAACAGGTGCCATGGCCAAATTCCAAGAATGGGAGGTAATTGTTTTACCTCCATCAGGGATGACTCAGTGCACACCTTCAGTTTATTAGAGACTCCCAGGGAGAGCCTTGACCTAAAGTACCTGATGGATCACACAGCAGTATTATAACTGGAGGCTGGCACCAGCACTTGCTAAATAAAGTGAGTTTCCTTCTGAATCAGTTCCTCTATGTGATATAAACTCACCCACGTGGCAGGAGGTTCTGCAGGCACCAGAGCTCTCAGTCAGGAGGGGACCACATAAGACACACAGAGGTCTGGGGACCAGTGCATGACTTAGGGGTTCTGTGCAGACAAAGTGGGTTCTCATGGCTCCTGGAAACCCATCAAAGGAGCAAGGTAGGAAGTGCGGGAAGCTCTCCCCTGTCCTGCAGATGTGAGTGTAGTGAGGGTGGAGCCACTACAACATCTATAATATGGAGGCTAGGAAAATGCTGAGATAGATCCATATGCCCAGCAAGCAGCCGCAACCTGAGTTATTATCTCCTCTGAGCCCTCAAAGGAGTAATCTACAGAGGACTCAATGCTGCCATTATGAAATGCCAAAGTTTAGCCCATGATTTTAAGAAAAACAGAATGAACAACTGTATAGCCATCTCCTTCACTAAGGTATTTGATTTCTCAAGGCAGCTGCTTGTTAAAATGAGATGATTCCCAATGAACCTTTGTTAAAATTCCCTATTAAACTAAACAACACGGGATAGGCACTCTGGTGTCATGTCACATCAGTGTTTGTGTGACACCTTTACAATGAGACCTGAGGTCATTTCCTGCTCCTGTGGTACAGCAAACCTTGGCACCTGTACAGGTGAGAGGTGACCAGGGAGCAGCCCTTAAGGGTTCTTGGCACCATTTAGATGGATTTTTTTCAACTTTCACTGTTGGTGGGACAGGCACATGTTTTATTTGCTGTGGGCCTGTCAGAAGGAAGGGCCCCTCTGGGGACAGGTGGGCATGTGGGTCATTCTGAGCTCAGCACACAGCTGCCTGGGCTATGCTGGGGTCTCTCTTGGTGGGAAAAGTTGCCAATCACAGGCCGATAAGAGCACTGAGGATGGTCTCTGTCGAGAAAGAACAGCAGAAAATACGGGAATGTGGTGAGGAAAGTCACCAGTCACTGCACATATATCATCTGCCAACAGTAATGTGACCTCCTCCTCTATTGTCTGCCGTGAGAAGAAGGGAAATTAAGGCCACAGAGAAAAAGAAAGAATTGTCCCTGGACCCAGCTGAGAGCGTTGAGAGGAAATCCCTGCTCCCAAAAGGACACCCTTCTTTCCCACCTCCCTCTGCCCCTGCGCCTGGGGCTGCTCTCCTGCTGTGGTTCCTGATTGCACCCTGTTATCCAGAGTGCCCCCGGTAGCCCAGCTCTGCTGTATCTCTGAGGGAGGTTTGTGTCTGGGCTCACAATGACTTCCCCTCACTGTATGTCTTGCATAGTAATACACGGCCGTGTCCTCAGCTCTCAGGCTGTTCAGTGTTAAGTAAACGTGGCTCTTGGATATGTCCCTGGTGATGCTGAGTCAGGATTTCAATGTTGGGCTTTAGTCTGTATATCCATCAGTCCATATACCCCCAACCTACTCCAGCCCCTTTCCCAGAGCCTGGAGGGTCCAGTGCACGGTATAGCTACTTAAAGAGAATCCAGAGACAGTGCAGATGAGGGAGAGGGTCTCTGAGGGCTTTACCAGTCGTGGGCCCGACTTCTGCAGCTGCATCTGGGACAGGACACCTGGGGACAAGGGGCATCAGTCCCTGTCAGTCACGTGCAATCACAGCCTTCCCATGACCCCTGAGACCCTCACCTTGGGGAGCTGTCACCAGGCACAGGAGAAGACCCAGCAGGCTCATCTTATAAAACACAGCTCTGCCTTCCCAGAGACCTCAGCCCTGTGTGAGGAGAGAGCTGTGAGCCTGCACAGCCCAAGAGATGATTTGCCCTGGAGCTTGAACAGAAATTTGAATGTGGGGCATCTCTTTTCTATAAATAGAGGGACTGAGTCCAGGATGCCCTACTCATTCTGGGATCTTTTTTTCGGTATCTCTTCCCTTGACCTCACTCACCAGCTAAGTCAGGGAAAGGGGACTGTATGGGTCATGAAGCATATTGGAATTGGAGAAAAGTATGGCCTAAACCAGTGATGGTGAACCTTTTGAGCTCGGCGTGTCAAAATTTTGAAAAACCCTAACTTAACTCTGGTGCCATGTCACATATAGAAATATTCGTAATTTTTTAAAAATATTTCCAACCATAGTAAAAAAAAAGATTTATATTTTTGATATTTATTTTATATATTTAAATGCTATTTAACAAAAAAAATCAACCAAAAAATATGTATAAAATGAACAAAAACAGAAAAACAATGTACATTTAGGAAAAATAATAATAAAAACAATGATAATCAAATGGTATGAAAACTAGAAATTAGTGACTTTTTTGGTGCTGAAGGTTGTCTGCTAATTCTTCGATTGCAGGTTCATACTTGATGCACTTCAAGGCCAAGCAAGCGCCACTAACTTCATCTGTTAGCTGGTTTCTTTTGTTTGTTTTAATATTATTTAATGCTGAGAACAAAGTCTCACAAAAATACGTTGATGAAAAAAATGTTAGCAAAGCCATCGCTAGATTTTTTATGTTGCTAAAAGTGTCAGGTACTCTGTTCCAAGCACTCAAAATTTCTTGTTCATAGTTGCACTCTTCTTCATTATTCAAACGATTTCGTTCCAGATTTTCAAGTCTCAACCTTAAGTCGACAAACACATGAGTCTAAATGCTACCTTGAAAATCTGCAAGTTGCATCTCTAAATTGTCCATTTGCATTGGAAATCATTTAATTCCAAAGTACTGTAAAAATGTGGTGGTAAAAATGCTCAACCACCATTTTTCTCTGGAATCTCAGAGGTAGATGGACCAAGGGAGCTTCCCCAGCCCTCTTTTTTAAGAACCCCTCATGAGAACTCCACCCTCAAGACCTAAGCAGGTCCCCAGGCCCCACCTCCTAACACCATCACGTTGGATTTTAGGTTTTAATATGTGAGTATGAGGGACACATGCATGGTGCTCATAGCAACAATTCAAGGATCAATCATGACCCCACACAGTTGGGAGGCTGCTCCACTAGAGCTCCCCCACCTGAGAATCCTTGTCATCCTGAGGGAGCTCCTGATCTGTGGAAGCAGAATGCTGAGCTACGTCCTTCAGAACAAGCTGATGACCTTGCGGAATGAGGTCTGCCCTTGACCTTGACGTAAGTCCTCTGGTTAATTCTGTTATTGTTCCTTATCATTGCTTACAGGTGCTCATTATTCTCCTTTTTGAAGACCTAGAACTGTTTTCTGCCCACAGGGGTGGGTAGCTCCTTGTGTTTACTCAGATTTTATAGGTGTCAGTGGAATAAGTAGTCAGGCTCTATTTATTTATGTTTGATGGTGACATGTTAAGGTTCATCCCTCTCTCTTTTCCTGTCCACCTGGGAAACTGAAGAGAGAGATATTAAACCAAGATGAGCCCCTCCCTTGAGCAGGATCCTCCCAGGCCCCACCACTGACCCAAAATAAAAACACG